GTGTTTGCTATAGCTTTTTGGTGTATCGACCGTGCCCCTGGTCTGATACAATGTGAGAATAATCAGATGTCTGAAATATTTTCTCTATGTGTTCCTCTATCTTTCTGTCCCTCTATTCCATTCACTCTAAATGACACACTCATTCATTCTTTCCAAATTCGGCTCACATGAGAATCTTCCTGTAATAATACCTTTTATTTCCCATTTCCTCCTCTAGCACACCCAGAACTGAGCAGAGCACTTATTAAAGATCCTCAGTAAACCACCTCTGCTTTATGACATGTACCCGTAGTTGTTATCCTCTTCTCTCCATGTACAGTTTGGAGGTACTCAGGGTACACCACTTCATGTGGTGTGAGGGAGTTAATCTTGAGCATGCTCACCTCACCTGATAAGAACAAGTGTAATTATGTCTCACTTAAAATACTTGCACATTCACAATGGATGAGCCACCGTGAGCAGAACTGCTGGGGTGGGAGGGACTGTATATATAGGGTTACAGTCACAGGGTTGGCAAGGAGAGAGCAGCAAAATCATAGAAAGCAGCGTGGCTGGGCTGTGATCTGTCTGCCTGTTGGAGGAGGGCAGGTGAACTCTCTGCTTCCAGGCCGGGATCCCTGCCTGCACTGAGGGGCAGGTTTGCCAGCTGACTGAACCTGAAGGCACAGCCCATCGTGACTGAGCTTGGGGATCTGCAGCCACGGGAGAGTGACAACTGCAGGCAAGTTTAGATTAGACCTAGAGTTAAGTTATCTAGAGCAGGAGAAAAAGGACTGCCTGTAGCATGCCAGATTTCTGTATAAAATTGTAATTATGTATAATTTTTATGTACATTGTATTTTTTCAAATTGAACAAATTGACCAAACAGAAGCCAAACTTGACATTTTGAAGGAAGAATTTATTTCATGTAAGTAAATCTCAGAAATCTTCATTTTTATATAGAATTTAAGACTTTCTGTGTGTATTTAAGGAGTTCAGGCCTGCAAGCTGCAGCAGGCCTGTGTACCATGCTGGAGGAGCAGATGTGAGCATAAACTGCCACTTCCTGTGAGCAGCTTGAAGGATGAGAGTTTATATCTTGAAAACATAAATGCATTACCCAGGCCTGGTTTCAACATTCTTACATAGGCACTGAATCTAGTTCTATGTAAACCCATGTATGTTGGAATTGCTTCTGACTTTCATTGGCACAAATAAGAGGGGAATCAGGCATGTGGTTTATGGGGTGTCATAAATAACAGGCCAGGGTCTCCCCTCTCCCATACTATGTATAAAGGATATGGATGTGAATGCACATACCACTAATGGTACCAACAGGTATGAAACAAGGAGTGGGCTCTGTATCTGCAGTGACCCGGTGTTTGTTTGTCCCACAGAGCCTGGGACATCTCTGGGGGGCCAATGGCCCGTGGGGGCAGGTGCTGCTCCTGTGACCTGCCAGCCAGTCCTGCACAGCGCTGAGGTCAGCGGGGCCCAAACACAGCAGGGTCACCTCAGCTGTGCCCAAACACGGCAGGGTCACCCCAGCTGTGCCCAAACACAGCAGGGTCACCCCAGCTGTGCCCAAACACAACAGGGTCACCCCAGCTGTGCCCAAACACAGCAGGGTCACCTCAGCTGTGCCCAAACACGGCAGGGTCACCTCAGCTGTGCCCAAACACAGCACAGGTCACCTCAGCTGTGCCCAAACACGGCAGGGTCNCCCAAACACGGCAGGGTCACCTCAGCTGTGCCCAAACACAGCACAGGTCACCTCAGCTGTGCCCAAACACGGCAGGGTCACCTCAGCTGTGCCCAGACATGGCCTGCTGTGCCTGCTGCTCCTAGAACGGAGAGGTCATTTTTCATGTGATGTAATGGCAGTGACATAGATGGAAAGAATCTATTTTTTACCAAGAACAGAAGTTCACACAGGGTCTTGAAGGATTTCTGCAAGTACCACGAAGTCACCTTTTTAATTGTCCATGATTCCAGATAACCGCTCAGGGCTACTGACAAAAAGCAAATAGCAGAATAAAGTAGTTGGTGCCTGTTCCTGGGCAGCCAGGTCTCAGCACTGGGGTCACCCTGCCACAGCCAACACCTGCCTTGCTGGGGCCTGGGCTGCCACAATGTCTGCTCTGGAACACACCTCCTGCTCTTCCAGGCAAAAATTGGCCAAATAATGATCTTCTAGGATTGGTCAAGTTATTAGACAACCTGGTTGAGTTTATATTTTCCCAGACAGGGAAACCAGCAGGACAGAAAAAGTGTCCAACCAAAGCAGAAACTTTCTGAGGTTTTGACGGAATACAAATGCATGTAAGACTTCAGTCAATATGAGACATTCCTTTCAACCCCAAATTATGTGCTTTGGTTTACACACTGGAAGTCTTTTCTCAATATCTTGTTTTAGTCAGAAAATATTATAGCCATGAAAAGAGATTTTTGAAAATAAAAACCAGAAACAGTCTCAGTGTTACCAGCCTATGGGTTTCCAAGTTTCCAGGTTCTCCCACTCCCTTTACCTCCACCAGCTTCTAATGTTCCCTTTTGTTCTGACCAGCCAAGGACTGACCTCACATATCTGTTGATATGTGACAGGATCCCACCAGCTCTTCAGTTCTGTAATAATGGGATTTGTTTTTTCTGAATTTATTTTAGTGTCAAATAACTAAAATAAGAGTGCTTGCATCAAGATGCAAAAATTTTTTCCTGTTAACTCAATTCTCTTCCTTGTAGTTGATTTGTATTTTCTGCTGGCCTGCCAAAATATTCAGCATTCAAAAATTTAAAAAGATAGTAATTATTCTTTTTTCTTGGAAGAACAAGCTTTAAAGTTTAAAGAAAAAGTATTTCAAATTAAAGTTTAAAATTACAGAAATTAAGAGGCCAGATCATTTTAAAGACTTTAATTTTCAGCTGATCTCGTGATTTGTGGGGTCAAAAGTTAAAATTTGAACAGCTCTCATAATATCAGTATACCTGATCTTTCACAGCAGCTGTCATGCTGAACCTTTCCTTACAAAATCCTCTGCCCATGCACTTTTCCAAAGCAGTTGTCTTTTAGGATCAGACAACTGCTCACAGTTGCCTTGTCCAGCCTGAAAAAAAGAAACATTAAAAAAAGAGAGACATTATATGTCTTAAATCACTCAAAACCTCTTCTAGACAAACAAATATTTTGAGCTGGAAGTGACATTTTGGCAAAGCCAGGGAAGTCTGATTCCAGAGTGTGTGATGCTTTGTGCCTCCCCCATCATTTTGTAATTTTATGTGGCAATTATTACGTTCGTGTCAGTGGCCAAAGGAAGCTCAGCACAGCACAGGGCAGGGCAGGGCAGCCACCAGGCAGCCAGGGCTGTGCTGCTGCCAAACAATGTTTGGCACAGCCAAACAATGCCCAGCTCCACGTCTGGGGTGAAAACAAGTGTCCCCAAGTGATGGCTGACAAACCTTGTCCTGGGAATCAAAGCACTTGTGAAAACACTCCAGTGAAAGTGGTTACCTGACATTTCTGGCTGTGGTCTCACTGGTTTGGTTCAGGCAGCCTGCGTTTCAGGAGCAAGGGTGTCCCGGGGGCTGCAGGGCTCTGCTGAGGGACGGGCTGTCCATGGACTGCCCATCCCCTCTGTGCCTGTGACCCCTGCCCATGGCACACACAGCCTGGGGGTTCCCTGCACAGCTTTCGCTCCCAATGAAATAATTTCCCTACGAGGGAAGTAGAACAGACAAATTGTGCCTGAGTTCAGCATGAAAATCTTAACATTTTGTAATAAATAAAGGCATCACCTAAATGGGCAAATTAAATGCAATCTGGTTTTATTTCAGTATTTGTTTTCTCTATCTCCCCCATCCAGGCTTTACTCTGAGACGCACGCTGCCTGTGCTGCACATTCTGCAATCAGAGCAATCTGGCTCCACTAATGTTTGACCTTGCGAATTATGATCTCAAGCCTAGTAAACAGCTCATATGGGTTTGGTTTTTGGGATGGTATTTTAGCTTCTCGTAAATGCTCCCTTTGCCTGGCACTGGGATGTCACCAGCCAGTGGAAAATCGGAGACTATGCCAATGTGCTGCTCTGTGCAGGGTCAGGGATGGCAGGTAGGAGGTGAGGCAGGGCTCCCTGGACAGGCCCTTACGGCTGTGAAGGAGCTGCCACTGTGGGTTATGCTGGCAGTAGGGCACAGGAGCCTGGGGAGCACTTCAGGCCCCATCAGGTGAGCGTGCACACCTCTCTTACTTCACACCCCATTCTCTGTAAACAGAATTATTGATGCTGCTAGTGATTTTGATTTTTCTTCCTTTTTTTGTTTTCACTCCTACCACCCCTTCAAAGACAGAGGAATAGAGCAGGATTAAGGAAGCACAGTCTGAGGTGTAGTGGCAGATGCATATTGCTGCTGTTCGGTGGTGTAACGAAGCTTGGTTTCAGGAAATTCTCTGGAAGCAGACACAGGCTTCCACAGAGGACTCTAACTGGATCTAGTTTGCTTCAAAACTTGCCTCTTTGCATGATTTTCACAGCCAGTAGGGAGAATACAGAGCTGAGTGGGCAAGTTATTATATTCTCAGGGTTTTTATTCTAAGTCTACATAATGATTGACTATTCTATAACTTCGGCATTGGAAGCAGCCTTGGCACCAGTAGTACTGGTACTGCCTTCACGAGTACTGCTCTTCTGTATTGCCTGGGCCATGCTTTCACTGGCCAGACACAAATGTCTAGATTAAACTGTGCTTAAAGGTATGTTTTTCTATTAGAATTAAATCCTTTATTGGACAGAGAGAGACATAAATACACAATACGATTTTAATTTCTTCACAGTATACTGTACTGGTAATCTCTGATGAAATCTCCTGTCCTATAAAAGCAGAATTGCTATTGTATTAACCAATACACTGAGTAGTGAAGAAATGCTGTGGTTCTATTCAGTTCTAGACACTGGTGTCACTTTTTTCTTGCCCAGGAGCACTTTGGCATGCCCAGTATTTAGCTCTCTTCAGTACCTACAGATCTCCCTTTCCCTGCCTCATAGTCTTCGATGTATTTATTATCTTTACCATCATCATGTGCAAAACAGGTGGTCATGAGGGATGCTCATAAGGGGTTCCTCTGCTGAAGGTCATGATTTCTCATACTGTCAACTAAAGTCTAATTTGTAAAATTAACTTCTTTCTAGAAATTCTTCTTTAAACTACCTGGACTAATCCTCCCTCTTTTCCATCAAAATTGTGATCTGACATTGCTGCGAGTGGGTAAATAATTCTCTCTCTAACCCTGCATCATCACATTATAATGAGGAGCACTCGATAGCATCTGGAAACACCTGCATACCATGTTCAAAGAATGGCCTAAAAGTGCAAAGCCTTGCTAGTAATTCAGATGCTGGACAAGTATTAGAGCGTATTTTGTTTGTTTTGAAAAAACATTCTTTCTCTACTGGGATGCCCTGCATTTGTGGTGCTTGAATGTTCAGGGGGTTTTACTGGCTCTGTATGGTCAATGTTGTTATTGTCTGGAGCTCAGCTGTCCTGTGACACAGCACCAGAGCCATGCCTCCAGGTGAGGAGACAGTGTCCTCTGGGCTGTGGAGAGTTACCACAGGAAGAATCTAACCCAAGCAGAAAATTCCTGATATTTGCGTTATTACAGAGCAGCCAGGTTGGAAGCTGAGGCCCTAATTGCCCTGTGTAATGAGAGAGGCCCTGAAAGAAAGGTGTGTGATTGGAGCAGCACTTCAAGCTGGGAGCAAAAAATCACAGTGGAGCAGTGCACAGCTCAGAGCTGCCCACTGTGACACCTGCTCCAAGGCCAGCATGAGCCCATGGAATCTCAGGCCAAAAGCCAAGACTTGGTTCCACTCCCAGAAAAGTCAACGAAACCCATTTAAAGTGAAATGATTTCATGCTGTACTGCAGGCTGAGTGACTTGGCAGCATTACTGTAATAGCATGGTACATCCCAGGTACAAGTTAATGAAGCACAGAGTTACAGCACTTCTGTGTAGCTGGTTAGTGGAGCCTGGGACTAAAACATACTGAAACTGTCATCTGTGGGCAGGATTTCACCTGGCCTTCAGAGTCTGACTGCTCTGGGAACTACCCCAACATTTTCCTACTTAATAAATCCCTTCCCATGGTGCCATTCTCAACATCATCTAATGGCCATCCCATACTGATAGAAGAGGAGCTAAAATTTATCAAGGAATTCAGGACCTGAGATGTCACCAGGGTGTTTTATATGGTAAGTGTTAAGACAGAATGTGCTGAAAAATGACACTAGCCAGGAAGAAGGGCAGGAACCACTGTGTATCAGGAATGTTAAACATCACACAGTGATGGTTCTGACAGTGCAGCATTTCTTTTCCCTGTCCCCTTCCCTTAAAATAATTTTTCTTAAACCACAAAACTTTGCCTTTCTTTTCTGCTTCACAGACAAGCAGAGCAACTACAGAAACAATCTCCAGAGATGTCCTGCAAATATTTTTCCTTCTTCGGTCTGTGTCTTTTCCTTCCAACCCAAAGGTAAGTGGAAGGTTTGTTTTGTTTTACAGGGAAAATTTGAATTATGTTTCACATAAGTAATGTGGGTCAAAAGGAAACTATGCTTCCAGTTATCCAGCCCATCCAAAGGAAGCTGGGTGCAGTAAGGGATGTGGCATAGAAGAGAGCAACCTGCACAGGTCCCTAAACCACAATATCTCCATTACTAGTGCAACCCTTGATTTCCTGTTCAGAACCAGAGCACAGTTTGTAGGTTTTTGCTGGAAATGCCACCCCACCAGGGCTCCCAACTCTGTTATTACCATCCTTGGACCTACAAGTCCCAAATTTCTTTAATTCTTTGTGTATATAATGTGCAAAAACTGGTTCAGTTCTGCTGTGAGGTCCTGTATGGCCTTAGAACCTGCAGCTACAAGGCCTATTAACCCAGCTTTGAAGGGAACAGAAGAAAAAACATTGGTAAGAGCTGTAAGTCCATGGCTGCTTCCTGCCCAGAGCAGGGGTCCTTGAGACTGGGAGTGGCAGAGGCTCTGCCTCCCACCTCCTTCTGCCCTGCCCAAAGCAATAACAAACTCCTAAGGATTCACTCAGTGACGCTTTCCTCAAGTGAGGACGAGATCACCTGGGGACACTGCACCAGAACAGTCACCTTGTACAGTTCAAAGCCCACGTGTCTCTCTTGCTGTCTGTATGATAGTACAGATCTGTCAGCCTGACAGTGCCAGCTCCTGGCTCCATTGTCCAGTCACAAAGGGTCAGTTTGGACACTCAGTTGGATGCAGCTGGGGCGGTTCTGCCCTCAAAGCTCTGGGGGTGTCTCTGAAGTGCACAGTGCTCCACCTTTCCTCTCCCGGTGTTACTCTTGGCAGTAGCTGTGTGGAGCTGCCTGACATTCACATCTGAGGATGAAGCCTCTTTAGAGATTAGGGAGGAAGAGCTGTTGGGCAGTAAGATTTGTCTCAGGTTGTCCTAGGCAGGAGGAAAAAGAAATGCATGTTCCTTATACAGACTGTATGAGAAGGAGTGGAAAGGGGAAATTGGGGGTTATTGTTAAAACTTGTGATCTATAGACTTTGCTTGATATCTCTGTGATATTTTAGGAAGGTCCTTAAGGTACTGACTGTGTGTACAACCTGTAGCTATCAGCGGAGGCAATTTGCCATTTTCCCACCTCTTCAAGGTGCTAATTATACAGCCAAGATAGCAATGTGAGCAAGTGCTTGTAATTTCAATTATCTACTTGTTTTTAATAACTATTTTATGCAGTTTGCTTGTTTGAGCACAAGCTGCAAATACAGCTGCAGCTGCACACCAGATGTGCCCAGCCCACGCGTCACAGTACGTATTTGTGTCCCCAGGAGGTGCTCCCTGGGTCACGTATCCAGCTTGCACAGCAGCGACACAACATCCCTTCCTGGATTTGAGAACCTCACCATGGGATACAACAAATACCTCCGGCCCTACTTTGGTGGTATGTTGGCTCCACACGTGTGAGCATTTCAAGAACAGCCTGTAAGGCTCAGGTGGAGGGGATGCTTTAAGCTTGTTTTAGAATGCTGCAGTTTGAAAGGTTGTGTTTCTTTCAAATTAGGTGGTGGCCAGGGCTGCCCTTCCTTCCTGTGCATCCACTGTTGTCTAGAATACCTGGTGCATGTATGTGTGGGCCTTGAGAACATGTCCATCTCTGAGGCTGAGAGCAGGGAATTTATAAACTTCAACATCTTTAGGAAAGACCTGACCAATTAACTAAATTCTGCTCTAACTGTACAAGCTTTTGTTTAGAGCCTGAGTCTTTGATTTTCTGCTTTACAGATGTTCATGTACAGCTATTTAGTAGATTGCAGCTATAGAGGAACGAAGGCACTCTTCTTGCCAGGAATATTGACTTTTGACACATCTTCTCTTTCCACTGAGATACAAACGTGCTTTAAACCTTGGTGAGACTGGGGAGTCGGGAGCAGGCAGGCATTTAGGAACTTACCTGAGGCTCTTGACCAAATTTGGTGTCAGGTCTCCCACTTTCCAGATGAGTGCTGTAATCACACAGAGTAAAAGGTTTCTCAGAATGACATTCAGCATCTGAAAACTATCAATGAAAGTTTAAAAAACAGCTATGACCATTTTTTATTTCTAATAATTTTGGTTTTCTGCCAGAACCCATTAATGAAACTCTGCTTGACAGAAAAATTTCCCATTGACTTTCACAAGGCCTTGGATGTTTCCCATTGTAGACTGACCTGCTGCTACTGAGCTTCTTCCATTTTCTGACCATGGTAATAAATTTCTGGGACAATACAGAATTTGCTGTCTTGTTTTGCCTGGAACGTCTGACCTCATGACTGACTAGTAAAGCTCCTCCAACTCTTGTCACACCAGTGAAGAGATGCTTCTCCACGATGAAACGGAGATCAGCTGCATCTATGGCAGATGTTATACAAAAATGATCAGGACTGTGGTGTCACCTTCTCCAGAGGCCCGAGTCCTCACAGATTGAACCTGTGGTCAGTAACTGGACTGGGCTTCAAGAGTCCAAATAGACGGAGGGCATGAATGACACCTACATTAAAAAAATACATCCTTTGCAAATGAAACTTATTTTGTAACAGCTTAAACCAACCAACCAACCAACCAAAGCCAAAAACACCTGGAAAACGATTTAGAAATTGTGACCCTTGGACATTCCTAAGTGTCATTTAAATGATGAAATTGAGTTTTAGCAATGCCAAGAGGAAAGGCATTGCTGTGTCGCCACTTAGGCAGAGGCATGTCTTGGAAAGCCCTGCTTGGAGCCCCACATTCGTCCCGGGAATCAGACAAACCAGGCACAACCTAATGCACAGTTTGTGTCTCTGCGCTGGTGCAGCATTTCCCTCTGCAGGGCCGCTGCTGGCTCCGGGCCCTTCCCGGCGGTCCCTGGGCCGTTCCCGGCTGGTTCCCGGGGCGTTCCCGGCGATTCCCGGTCGCTCCCGGCCGTTCCCGGGCGGTGCCGCCCTCTCGCGGTGGATCTCCGCAGTTGGTGTCAGCACTCCCCAGATCCAGGGCGTGAGTGCTGAAAGTTGGTTTGAAAATAGAACGGTCGAGTAGTAACTAACAAGAGGCAAAGGCTGTTGCACTTGCCGTTTGTTGCCGGGAATCAGTGCATTCGTGCCTCCCGGAGCACCGGGGCTGCCCATCGCTGCCGTGCGTGGGCAGAGCTGCGAGCAGTGCCCAGTGCGGAGTTACCTGCCGGGCCGCTCGGGGGGGGGCTGGGAAGCAAGGGACAGTGGCCCTGTCTGCCCAGCCACCCACAAATGCCACTGAAATGCTGCTGATCCAAACTGCTCAGCTTCACAGATGGTGCTGGTGGGTATTTGCCCTCTGCTACCAGCACCAGCAGAGAACTCCAGCTCACTGACAGTGACAGCTGTATTTTGGATTATGTAATTTGTGAGCCTAATGCTCTTTGGCCCTCTGTGGTTTTAGGGATAGTGTGTGAGGCTGGGGGCAGTGCCCACGCTGCACAGCATCCTGAGTGGCTTTACTGTGCCCTTCACACTTCCCTTCTCTCTGCTGAGGCATTTCTTTCCCTCCACAGGAGAACCTGTTCAAATTGCAATGAGTCTGGACATTGCAAGTATTTCCAGTATATCCGAGAGCAACATGGTAAGTGAAAGAATTTTCATTTTATGAGATAAGAGCCTGAGAGACTTGGCATGTATTCTGTGACCACAGAAATGGTCACTTGAAGCTTCTTTGCTGTTCTGGGCTATTGACCACTTTCAGAGGTGTGATGAAAACAGGGCTCATCTATGACTGCAGACTGCGTAGATGCCATAGTAATGTGGGCTTGCAAGTAAATAGAAGTGGCTCCAAAGGTCCTACTGGTCAAAAATTCAGCACCTCGTGGAAATCAGGCCCCTTGGGAATGGAAAAAATCAATACTGTGTGGCATTTCCTCTCCCTTACCTTTCCTCCATGTAGGAGCCCTTTGTGTGGGACAGGGATGGGCTCTGTTGGACGCGCTGGCACTGACTGAAATCCCAGACAGGGTTTTTTCTCAAGGAGGAGAAGTAAGGCTTTGAGCTGAGACACAAGCTGAGGCTCAAAGGACTGGCCTTCCCAAGGAAAGAAAAAAAACCCGAAACATCTCTTAAATCTTCCCATCACTGGTGAGTCTGGTACATTCTGCTTCTGATAATAGCTGGATTTCAAACACTGATCACTGAAAGCTCCTGTTTCGGGTTGGCCAAAATCATAGGCAACTTGGGTAAATTCAGCAAATAATTTCAGTCCAAACAGTTAGAAGGTCATTCAGGAAAAATGTCGACACTTAATTTCTGCATTTTCAAGACTACCACCACCAATTATGTTTTTCTGCCTCCTTCCAACAAATTAAACAAGTTCACTAAATAAAATATTTTAACTTTGCTAAAGGTATTCATTTTGGGGAAGGAGCAGAACCAACAAAATCAATTATTCACAAACCTCTCACTTAATTGAAGTGCCTTGTAAAATAGATCATGTTCTGGAGTTTTTCTGGATGATCCATCTAAATTTCTTTGACCATATGGAAAATATTGCAGAGGCTCACTCTGTGTCTTGCTCAAAGCTGGAAAATCAACCAGGATTCTTCACTTTTGTCACTACTATAACTCACTGTATTGAAAGCCATAACAAGGCTTTGACTTTTTTTTTACTCCATCACAGGCCAAGGGCGAAATTTTAAAAGTTGCAAAAGCTAACACTGATATTCCTTAATTCCTTAGAGCATTTTAAAAACTAGAGATGGAATGAAGCAGAACTGCTTGATCTTCCAAAGCCAGGCAGCATTTCTGTGGTGAAACAGTGACTTCAGGCTGTTAACACAAGTGCCAGTGCCAGTCCGTCTGTGACAGAGATGTTCTGAAAATAAAAGGCATTACTGGTTGCATGTACTTGGACTGTAAGGATGGAAGTGAGATAGTCCAGCAGTGCCTGTGTGTGTCCAGAAGGCTCAGCAAAGCATTGGCTTCAGAGCTGAGTGAGTGCTGCTTATTCTTTTCTGCTGGGGCTCTGTGAAAATGCTCCAGCCACTGCAGGTCGATTTTGGCAGGCTAAACACAAGTTAATCCCAGTGTCCTTAGATTCAAAACTCCTATTAAAAGAAAAGATATCAGTTTAGTTTTTTCCTTTGTTTGGGGCTTTTTTAAGACCTCAGTGAAGTAACAGGTTGGATTCACTTACCTTTTTTCCTCCAGTGCCAATGTGTCTTTCACGATCGTATTTATAGTGCGTGTGGAATTTCCCAGCTCTAGACAATGACTCATCTGTAATGTCAATGACTTACTGGGTGGCCTCAAGTGTGTGTTTCCCATATGTTTTCTTACCTGCGCAATGAACACAAAAAAATATCAGTCACAGTAATTGCTCATTATTTTAAAAAAAGCACTGTAAGTATAATCTTTAGTCCTCAAACACCATACCTTAGAATATAGTATATTAAAAATATTACTGAATAAATAAAACTATGCTGAAAATAAAGCTTGAGGCTTCATTGAAGTTTGGTTGTGACAGGTTAAACAAATGTGTGCCATGTCTCTTGTCACACGTGGCATGCCCGTGGCTGTGCTGTGCAGGTTCTGGACATGCATCCTCACAGGCTCTCCTCTCTTTCCCAGGATTACACAGCTACCATATCCCTGCGGCAGCGCTGGACAGACCCCCGGCTGGTCTTCCACGGCAACAGGAGCTTCACGCTGGATGCTCGCCTGGCGGAGCTGCTCTGGGTGCCAGACACCTACATCGTGGAGTCCAAAAGGTCCTTCCTGCACGACGTCACCGTGGGCAACCGTCTCATCAGGCTGTTCTCTAATGGCACCATCTTGTATGCCTTGAGGTGAGTCACCCTTTGCTTTGGGGCTGAGGGGTCAGAATAGATTCCCAGAATTACACCAGACAGCAGCTGTCACGGGTCAGGAGCTTAGGGTCAATGAGCCTACTGTGGCCATACTCTTCCAATGCATTTCCCCCTGTTCTGGCCTCCTGCAAATGCCAGTCAAGGATCAGGATTTCTCATCATGGTATATGCTGTGTCCTGCACATTGTGCCCACTCAGAAAGCTCACAAGTTTCGGTGTCACCCAAGAAAAGTCGAGTCAGGTGGAGACAGAGGAGGAATAGAAAGAGGACATCATAACAGTGAAAGTTTAACTGATAGTGGAAACCTGTTTGTTTATCCAGTGCCATGTAGCAATGACTTCTGTTTTTTACCACAAACTGTATATGTCTGTGTACTGCAGGAATGTGCTCTGTGGTTGTGTTAGCAGTTCCTACAGTGCTCTGTCTCCTTACTCACAGTAACTAGGTCCCAGTTACCTCAACTGCAAAGTAAAACTCATTTACCTCCCCATGAGAGCAAGCCAGAATATGTGTACCCTTCATTAACGTTCCTTCACGTCACAAGTGGTGACTTTTTCAGATGTGCAAGCTGTAGCACTGGAAAAAAATGTGAATCTACACCAAATCTCCCACCAGAGCAAAGCAAAATTCCTGCTTGGGTTATATATTCATCACAGTGGCTGCAGAGAGCACATGCTCTTAAGGAGGGTTCTAAATTCATTCATTTCATAGGCCTAATGACAGAGCAGAGTCTTTGTCATCCAGTTTGTTATGTAAAACAGGTATTTCATTACATGCTTTTATTGCAACTTTCAGAGTTCTTTCTCCTCCTACAGAATCACTACTACTGTTGCCTGTAACATGGACCTGTCAAAATATCCTATGGACACACAAACATGCAGACTGCAGCTGGAAAGCTGTAAGTGTAACATTCTAGAAAACTCTAAATTTGTTTATTCATAAATAACTACATATCTTGAATATTTGGATTCAGTGCAGTGGCTTTCTGGAGTAGACTTTCAGTCCTGCAGATACTAATGTCCAAAAGAAAACAACTTTTGCATCATCAATTTTCAAATGTTTGTGTTAAAATCGACAGTCCAGAGAATTTCTGTCACTGTGCAGACTATGCAAAAAGAGTGATAATAATGAATATTTATATTGAAATGCAGATATTTCAATTTTGCACAGAAAAGTTGAAGTAATATTGGCTGGTTTTCCAAATTTGGTACCTTTTGAACACGTAGCTTCTTCAAAACTAACTTGTGGGGTAAGTGCATGGGATGGGGTATGGCAAGGAACAACCTCTCACATTTTTAGGTATCCAGTACCCTTGTCAACAGAAGAGTCTCTGACTGGGAAGTCTCAAGAAAAGGAATTGTCAGTGAGTTCTGCTCTCAATGAGATTAAAAGTTCATCTATGGCAATGCTGGCTGAGAAAGGCTCCAGGAAAATTTAGACCAGTCCAGGGTTGTTAGCCCAGAGCTCAGCCAGCTCAGTGCTGCTGTGTGCTGTGAAGCTCCACAATGAGCAGGCTTCATCTCCTGCTTGATGGCACAAAACCAAACATCTCAGCACTGAAAACATCAGCTTTTTAACTTCCGAGGTTGCAGCATGAAGCACCTAGGGAAGCACATATTATTTTCACATTAAAATCATATTAGTTCACCATGGTTAACTTTATTACAAAGCACAGCTCTTGAAATAATAATGATTGGCCTCTTCTGCTAAAGCGGAGCTTGTTTGGGCCTGGTTTAAAAGTGATTGGGTCCTACATCATGTTGAGTTGCTGTATAATTCCAATGAAATTACATACACATTGCCCACTGGAGATTTCATTAGGATAAGTGCCCAGAAATAATGCTATTTAAATATATGCCAGATGAATTAACAACAATCTATCATTTATTATAAAATTTTCCTGAGTAACTACAATTTATAAAACCACTTAGAAACTTAGAAAAGTCATATGCTTAGGATTCTACTCAGGGATTCATACTCTGGACACCTAATTTAGGAGTTTATCTCGCTCAAGCTCTGGTAATTTGTGTCTAATAAGAAAACACAATTAGATGAAAACAGAGCTGCAACTGCATCTGATTCCTCCTACCAGGACGAACGGGTTATTACCAGAATCACAGTGTCCTTACGCATGGTCTCAAATAAAATAAAATAATTACATCAGTGAGACTGATGGGCTTGTTTCCTAAATTAAGTGAAATTTTTGAAGAGAATGGCAGGCTGGTGATTCAGTACAAGCTTTATCTCTCAGACTGAGATATCCCTCAGTCCAACCTGAGGTTATGCCATCACTTACATTCCTGGAAGCACTTACTCAGGTGGCATATACGGAGTCCCACTTCTTTGGAGGCAGGAATTTGGTGTTACTTAAATGTCAGGGGCATTTATTTGTCCTCATAACTTAATGCCTTTGGGGATAGGAGGAATGATTTGTAGAAACAGTTGCCTTTATGAGCAAGTTTTCTGGGCAATGCGTATCCAGTCAGAGGAACCTAGTTCATAACCATGTAGCAGTCTCAGTTCTAAGCTTCTGACTGACTGAAAATGCATTTTCTCCTATTTTTAGGCACTTGAATAGGTGATTCAGTGAAATGTGCTTCTGCTCCTTGGTAAGGGACTCAGTGGGATCTGAATTCTCTATTTTTAAGCACTGTGTATCTCCTGCTCTCCTCTCAGACCGAAGAGACTACATTTGAGGCTTATTTGCTGCAGTGTTTAATCCTGCTGCATGTAATCAAGATGCGCATGACAGCAATCGATTATCTTTAAATCAGAAATACCCCATGTAAAGGATTGAAATAGACTCTCTGCAGGCTTGCATGTTGTGTGTGTTCCTATTGAAATCTGGACCAGCAGACAAAGTGCAGCAATGAGGGCACAGCCAAGGTCCGCCCGTGGTCTGACACAGCTCTGAGGGCCTTTGTCCAGCCTGCAATGCCTGGATCGTGGCTGTGTTCCCCCTCAGGACTCAGAGCAGGGCAGCAGCCAAGCCGTAATGCCTAAACCACAGTCAGACAGGTCTCTGTGTTCTCCTTAGGGGGCTATGATGAAAACGATGTCACCTTCACATGGCTGAGAGGAAACGACTCTGTCCATGGCATGGAGCAGCTGCGGCTCTCCCAGTACACGGTGGAGCGTTACTACACCCTGGTCTCCAAGTCACAGCAGGAGACAGGTAAATTTGTGAAAGAAAAAGGCAAGGAAAGCTCTTGGGTATTTCCCATCACATCTCCACACATACCTGAAGAAACCTTCTCCCTTCTTTCTATAAAGTTGCAGTAACTGGGAGTAAAAATAATTTTTAAAATATACTTTAATTGTAAATTACAATTCTATCATGATGGAATAACATCTCTTTGTACATCAGAATTCAGTGTCTTTTTCATTATCAGTGTAAATACTCTTCTCTCCAATCACAGACACTGTGAAAGGGGGGCAAAACTTCCTTAGAAGGTTTTAAAAATAAGTGTTTTGTTGTTCTGTTGTGTACACAGCCCACGAACAACACAGACTTTGTTTCTACATTTCAAAGGGAGCTATTGTTTCAACAGCAGAACTATATCCTGAAAACATTACTGATCCAGCCCCAGAACCCTTATGTCAGTATTTACAAATAATTGATTTTAAAAAATTGACTGAATTTTTTTGAGCAGAAAAGGATACCATTATCAAAGATCACAAATTGCTAATGAAAACAGGGCATCTAATTCCTTGTGATGATAAGGTAGTGGGATGCTTTGGGATGTGAGCCAGAGCCTGCTGAAATCGAGAGACAAATCTTTTGCCTGTTTCTCAGCCATCAGATGAACCTGAACTTGGCAATGCCCCTTCCAAGCAGTGTTGGGAAAAGTGCACTGAGCTGAGTGTGCAAGAGCAGGGGACAGCACCAGCCCTGCTCTGCTCCCAGTTAAGGCACTGCTGTCACATATTTCTACTGGGGCTGAAGCCCAGGAGCCCCTCTGCAAACCCTGCGTTGTTGGATGTCCCTGCCCTGTCAGTGCTGTGTGTCCTCTGGTGTGGGATGTGTTGGCAAAGCAAGCCCTCTGAGGTGAAGCAATGCCTCCCCCACAATCATGGTGTGGCTCTGCTGAGGTCCCTCAGCTGAAGGGCTGGTGCTGGGCTGTTCCAGTTTCACTTCAGGTGTCCTTGGGAATCTCATGCTCACTGAGTTTCTTCCTTTCATGATCAGGCAGTTACCCACGTCTGATATTACAGTTTGAGCTAAGAAGAAATGTACTTTACTTCATTTTGGAGACCTATGTGCCCTCCACTCTGCTCGTCATGCTGTCCTGGGTTTCTTTTTGGATCACATTGGACTCAGTGCCTGCAAGAACCTGCATTGGTGAGTTATTGCCTGAGGAACTGAGAAGACTTAAGCTGGCAGGACAGCCTCTGAAGGTTGGGTAGATGGTCCTTTTCTTGAGCTCTCTGCTCTGAGATAGTCTATTGACCTTCTGCTGTTGCTTGGGGCAGAGCTGGGTTAGCATGGATGTGCTGTGGCAGGTACACGTGCCCACCTCCCAAGGCTCCCAGGAGATTCACAGCAGAGAGTAGAGGACAGAGCATACATTCTTTGTGGTGTGCTTTGGAGGGAGCAGGATGGGGGAGTTTTTTACAGAAAGCCAGAAAGAGAGCCAAGTGCTTATTGGAGCCAAGTTGTCAACAGCAGGGAGAGCCTGTGTGAAACTTGTAGCTAGTGCTGCAAAAGCATTTCAGTTGCTGTGATGGATGATTTGGATTTGGTAAGAAGTGATATGAGCAACAACATGTGCAGAAGGGTAGGCCAGGACTTTTCCAAAGAGTCCACAAGAGAAGGTATCTCTTTTTCTGCTTTCCAAGGAGTTACAACAGTGCTTTCCATGACAACTCTGATGATCGGCTCACGAAGTTCACTTTCAAAAACCAACTGTTTCATTAAGGCCATTGATGTTTATCTTGGCATCTGCTTCAGCTTCATCTTTGGTGCCCTTGTGGAATATGCAGTGGCTCACTACAGCTCTTCACAAAAGTGTGCAGCTAAAGTACCTCAAGAGGTAAGGCCTGATAAGCCCAGAGATCTTGGATTGGCAGCAATTAGTTCTCCATTAACTGAATAAGACAAATGGTCTTCCTGTTACAGGTACATTAACACTGGCTTCTCCTAAATGGCACTAAATCTTTATTTTCGTGTGCAGCAAGCACATGAATAGCTCTAGAGCACTGTGTCTCTGACAGACTTCTGAGCAGCAGCCTCAGCTGACAGTCATATTGGGTTCATCAGACCACATTCAGGAAGGCACTTTGGCCTGCCACTGGAATTGGTTCTGTGGCCCTGAACTGAGCTCACGTGAGCATGAAGCACCTCTGCTCCTTTCAAAATGCAGCCAAAGAAGACCCAGTATAACACACCTCTTTGCTCTCCTATGGAATAACTCTGATTAGGAAGGTACTTTGCTCTTTTTTTACAAAGGAAATATGAACCCCTCTTCCTCCTTTCCCAGAAGACACTACCAAACATCAGTCCCACCATGTTCCATGGGGATTGTGAGAGTGCATTGTTCAAGTGCTCTGCTTTAGTGTGAGACATTAAAAAGTCAGCTATGACCATAGTCCAGTAGTCATCAAGGGCCCAAATCCTGTCAGAGGGAAAAGAGGTTTCCCACTTCAATGCTGTGTTCCCCAGCCATTAAGTTACTGAGTAGACATGAAGAGATGGATGTCCAGGAGGAGATGCATGTTGGGTTGCACTGGGTTGCTCAGGGACAGTGAGACTTGCTCAAGGTCTAAAAATACCTCTAGAAATACAGTGTTGGAAACACAAGCATCTCTGGGACCTCACGCCCTCCTAAAAATAGGGATGTTTGAGTGGATGACCACATACAACCACTCTTTTATCTATATCCTTATGGTTTCCTTCCTCTGCAGGAGAAGACGGATCCTAAAACTAGCTCTGCACTCTTGTTTCCTAGGGGCCAGCAAATAAGATCACTAAAGAAATGGAAGATGTCAACATCACTAATATCCTCAACAATTCCATCACCAGCTATAAACAGAAAATCAGCTTCACAAGCATTGAAATTTCCAGTGATAATGTTAACTGCAGTGATTTGACTACGAAAAGCCATGAGAAAATCAAATGTGTCTTGAGAAACAAAATGCACAGGATTATTGGTTATTTCACAATTCAGAACCCCGGCAATGTGGACCACTACTCCAAATTGCTTTTCCCTTTGTTTTTCATGCTGGTCAATGTGTTTTATTGGGCTTATTATCTATATTTTTAGTAGAAGTTAGTTGCTTCATCCTCCTACTTCAGCAGGAAAGGAATTGAGCCAATGGGTATCCAGGTATCTAACATCGGTGAATTCAATGTGGACAAAATGCTTGCGTCCTCAGGTGCCCAGCAGAAGAGTGTGTGAGGTGTGCAAGATGCAACACTGACTCTGGACAGCAGCCTGTTCAGCTGAGTGGCTGTGCTGGGCCCTGTCACTTGTACCTGTGTTTCCTTCCAGCATCTCACCTGCTGGAGATGGGTGTGCAGGACTGCACGGAGCAGAGCACTACAGGTGGCAAAATTGTTTTGGTAGCCTGGAGCAGGTTAGAACCTTCAAGTTTAGATCTCCAAGAGAGTGTATAGGATTATACAAACAAAAACAAAGCTGTTATTCTTTGTTTGCCAGAGATAACAGAGGGACTGTGATTGCTTCCTCAGTAGCTGCTCTGTTGCAGTGGGAGAAGCCGAGCACAGCAGCACACTGTGTGCTCAGGAGCGTTCCTGTGCGTGGTGCTTCCTGGGGGCAGGCAGTGCCAGGCCGGGGATTTTGGTCCTGCTGGCTGTGCTGTGCCTCAGTGCTTTTAACGCCTGTCACTCATTGAGGTAATCCTCACTTGCTGAAGTTCTCCCTCCCTCAGACAGACGGAGGGCTTGCTGTTTGTAGTGAGCAAAATTTTTTCAGAGATTTGGGAACACAAAATAGAGGCAGCAAAATTGTTTGGTAAC